CTTGTTCTTGTGTTCAGGTTTTTTTTTCTTTAAGTTTTTGCTTATAGGTGTATTTGAATTATTCTCTTCCACATTTGTGCTTTGATCATCTCTGGTATCATCAAAGTCCTTTACTTTTTGTTTGCTAATTTTTGTTGCTGAAGGCATAGGAATTATTCTAGGTCTATCCTAATCTGGGGTTCAAATCAAATACTTACCTTGGTTCTCTTTCTGTAGGCCTCTTCTTTCACCACAACTCCCGAAGACTCACTCTGATATCAGCCTTACTTGATGGAAAGTGGCAGACTATCTGGAGGGATAATCCCACATCTGAGAGAATACTGAGTGAGATATAAAAAAAAGAGGGGTGGCCCATTATTGGAGGGAGTTTACTAATCAGGCCCATCCTGGATGGCTGCAGGACAATAGTGGATCTCTGCAGAACCCTTAGGCCGGGCCACATATCATATAGAAACAGAATAAAAAAGGTACAGTGCCAGAGACGGCCCAGGGTCATATCCCATTCCCATGGGATAGAGCTGCTTTGCTGTTTACATTAATCATGATACTCAAGCTCGTGCACCTACACACTTGCTCTCACCTTACACCTGATGCTCTTTAGTTTAGATGAGAAGAGAAAGGAGAAGCTTTTTCTTTAATACTAAGTTAAATCCAGGAGTTCCCTCCTCTTGTAGATGGGAAGTAGATTATTCCTTTGTCTTGAGGGGGATTTTTCTTAAAAAAAACATATATTTTTAAAGTCAACACTAAAAATAGTAGAAGCTTTTTTTCTTTCTGCACACTGATGTATGTGTATATTTATATGTGCATGTATTCATACATTTTAGTGCACAGATTTCTGGCTTCCTTTTTTTGTTTATTTTTAACCTTTGCATTGAAGTTTGTCAGTTTCATTTTAGTCACTCAGGGGATTTCTTCAATAATCCTTTGTTTATTGATTCAACTTGATTGTCACATAATTATATTCATTATACATATGACATTTTGGGCTATGTGAGTGTGAATGTTGACAATGTTTTATTTTTAAGGTTGATCTACTAGAAGAAATCATACCATGATATATGAATCAAAATAATACATCTCTTGACTATTCTGTCAATTCCACTTCAGCATGCAAAAAACTTGAAACATGTCAGTGAATTTTCAGAACATCCCTTCAAGTACCAGTCTTGCTTCCAGCCAAATGTTCTAGTCATCACTCTAGTTAACAACCCACATGGAGATGTATCCTAGGGACTGCTTCTACAGATGCTACAAGCATACTGAAAACACACACACACACACACACACACAATTTCTTGCCACCAAAGTCCTTGGCCCTGTAAAATGACTCAACATCAGAAACTGATATGATTTTGTTTATTTTTTATGGATTTAGTAGTTCAATTTTCCCTAATTACATGTAAAAACAATTTTTAACATTTGTTTTTAAAACTTTGAGTTTCAAATTCTCTCCCTTCCTTCCTCCCCACCCTACCTTATTAAGAAGGCAAACAATCTGATATAGGTTATACATGTGTAGTCAACTGATATGATTTTATCAACAGAAATATTAAAGATGAACTGTCATCTGCTTTGCTGCTGATCCCTAAGGATCATAGGACTGATCCATTGGTCTTAAAATTAAACTTTCTATATGGTTTGTATCCCCCATTAAAATGTGAGCTCCTTGAGATTAGGGGTTGTTTTACTTTTATATCTCTATTACCAACACTTATTCTTTGTATATCTTTTATTCATATAAATATACATAGAAACCCACACTTCAGTTAGAGAGTGATAGAGTCTCAGAAGGGACTGAAGGAGGCCATTGAGTCCAACTTCAACACCACTAAGCTATATATCACAACACTACAGAAGTCATTAATCTCCTTTGTTACCATCCACCAAGCAATTGTGTGTTTTGCAAATAATTTAACACTTAGCATAAGAACCACAATAAATATTTGTTTAATGAACAACCAGAGGAGAACACAAAATGCTTTCCTGATATCAGGAAGCCTAGTAAAAGCAAATTTGGTTGATTCTAAGAGAATTTGATTCAAATTATTTCTTGTCTTCTCTGTAACAATGAAAATATGGGCTTTCACAAACATCACACAAAGATATTTGCTGAAGGGGGCAGCTAGGTGGTGCTGTGGCTAGAGCACTGGCCCTGAAGTCAGGAGGACCTGAGTTCAAATTTGGCATCAGACCAAACACTTGACACTTACTAGCTGTATGACCCTGGGCAAGTCACTTAACCCCAGTTGTTTAAAAATTCAAAAAAAAAGGTGTTTGCTGAAAATAATTGAGCTCTCCAAAAGAAGGCAAAAAAAACCCCACCCCCCAAAAAAAAAACCAAAACAAAAAAACAAACCAGTCTAACTAAAGTAAGGAATGGAAAATAGAAACCATTTATAAATGGCTGTGCAAATTTTGTTAACCTGTAGGAATTGTTTGCCATGGAATAACCACTGAGAAGAAATGATAAAGGCCTCATCTAGAATAGTTCATTTTTGGTTCCAACAATGAAACCAGAAATTTTAATAAATTCACAAATATAAACAGAAAGCATATTTGAGAACTAAATGGTAGCTGAGATTGTTCTCTGCATACTTCCTCAATGCTGTCTGAACATAGAAATTTTCTCAGTCCATCTGTTCCCTTCTCTGAATGACAGATGAATCCCTGGCAGCAGCCCAAGCAACAGCAATAGCAAGATGATGTGTAGGTATACATGTGCTGGGTCAATTTCTTTTCTCTTTCTAAACTGTATAATGCCTTACTAATGACCACTCACACATATATATTCATAAAATATTAATTGATCAAAAGTAAAATTTGATAAAGTGAATACTGAGGGGTTTCTCTTATAATTTTTTTGTCCCAGGAAGAATAAGTATGAGTGAGTTTCTATGGCACACTTCAAAAGGAAGGAGATGAAAACTCATCTATGCCTTTGCATGGGAGTAGAGTGGAATTTTGGGGGACCCAAAGGGGTCAGTACTAACCAAATTGGGTTCCTGACATTGAACTCAGATAAAGCAGCAAGGAATCAATTAAAGGGGAATCAAGAAGCCAGTTATTCTGACCAGCCAGGGTGGACCCTGAACTGGGCAGCATCTACAATGAGCCTGGCATAAGAAGTTCCACATCTGTGTTTTAGACAGCAATATAATTGTTAAAGAAAATCATGCATCTTTAGTTACAGAAGACAGATAAGGGTTAGATCATCTGAGTATAGCTGATCTAACTAAATCAAAGAAATCTGTCCATCAGGCCAGACAGGGAGGAGAACTTTTCCAGGACTCTAGCATCTTTCATTTTCATCAGGTCAGTCTATTTGTACCAATAAAAGGTTAAAGAAAAAGATAATGAAGTACATTGGCTACAGTAGCTGATCTTGTAGTTCACTGAGGGGTCATTTATAGCAAAATGGATAATACAGAACAAGATACAGTCCATATGATGAAGGACTCTTTCTAAGGAGGGAAAGGTGTATATATTACACTAATACATTGGGGAAATCCATGGTGCAAAACCATGGAATTTGATAAGGCAATAGAAGCAAGGAGGCTCACTGGAAGCTATCAACATCAAGAAACTTGCTGAAGTCAGTCTGTGGGGTTCATCCATGAAGGTAATTTTGTCCACTTCTCCCATAGGAGTCAGTGGAATCTGCTGAAGAGGGGATCAGAATCATTCTTTAGGACAATCACTTTCACAGCTGAATGGAAGCTGGATGAGAGAGTTAAGTTAGAAAGCTTCAACTCAGTGGAAATTGTAACAATCCAGACATGAGGCACAAGGGCCAGCAGGTTGGTGGGGGGTTCTGTGTAAATAAGTAAAAGGAAATGTATACAGGACATGTTGTGAAGGTAGAGACAACAAGACTTGGCAACATACTGGATATGTAACATGAGGGCAAGTGAGGAGTTCAGGATGGTACCAAGAGTACAAGCCTGAAATATCAGGAAGATGTTAATGCTCTCAACAATAATACAGAAATAGAGAAGATGGGAGGGGTTGAGAGGAAAGATTGTGATTTTGGTTTTAGATATGTTGACTTTGAGACCTTTATGCAATATCTAAGTTCAAGATGTCCAATAGGTAGTTAGTGATGAGAAACTGCTGAGGGGGCAGTAGGGTTAGAGGAATAGATGTCAGAAGCATCTGGAGGTCCAGCAGATACCTTAAACTAAACATGTCCAAAACCAAATTCATTATCCTTCTCACTAAACTCTCCCCCTAGACCTACAGGCTCACAACCTAGGAGTCATCCTGGATTCCTCACTCTCTCTCATCCCCCATATCCAAACTCTTGCCAAGGATTGTTGATTTCACTCCTGCAACATCACTTGCATATGTCCCCTTCTGTCCTCTGACACTGCTACAACTCTGGTACAGGCTTTCATCACTTTAAGTCTGGCCTACAGTCAGAGCTGTTTTGAAGATTACCATCAAAAACAAAAAAATAAACAAACAAAAAGAACTAAGATCATGGTGAGAGAAATGATTATTAATAACAAATATCTTGGGGAGATTCAGAGATCTCTTTTTTTCTGAATTGCTCATTTTTAAAAGTTCAGTTTTCTTGAAGGACATTACTTATAATGAGATTGCACTGCTTCTCCTAATCTTGGTCAGACCCCACCCAACCTTGCAAGGAATTTTAATCTAGGATGGGGAAGCCAATTGTGTTTTACTCAAGCTTGGGTTGACACTGAACCCAAGGCTGTGGTCTGAGAACACAAGTATATAAACTAAGCCCAGCCATGATGGTCTTTGATCTAAGAGCAACAGCTAACTGACCATCCTTTTTTAAATAACTTGCTGGCTTTATCAATAAAATAAACAAGTGGTGGGACTGCCCAGCGCTCAGTGCAGCTGTTTGGGCCAGTAGCAGCAGCTGGAGAACAGCTGTGGCAGCTGGCTGATGGGCAGACTGAGGCAACTCGGTGAAGAAAGAGGAAACCTAAGAGAGCAAAGAAAGACACCCATTCAAGAAAAGAAACGGAATGGCTTCTACAGGGAGCCAGCCTGATATAGACAATATTTTTGGATTCTTCAGTGATGGAGGGCCCCCCACCAAAAAACCCAGACAGCTGCTCCCAAGTTTAATGTCCAAGAAACCCCAGGAACTTGTGCTTGTGATTGGAATAGGCGTCAGTGCTGCAGTTGCACCTCAAGTTCCAGCTCTGAAATCATGGAAGGGATGAATTTAGACCCTGCTAGATGCTACCATTGATTTTGATCTCCTTGAAGATGAAGAGAGTGAAAAGTTTCAGAAGTGTCTCCATGAAGACAAGAACCTCATCCATATTGCCCATGATCTCACCCAGAAACTGTCTCCTCGTACCAGCCATGTCCATTCTACATTTTTCAAGGACTGTTTATATAAAGTATCTGATGACTTGGAGTCAAAGATGGAAGATTCAGGAAAACAATTGCTTCAGTCAGTCCTCCACCTGATGGAGAATGGAGACTTGGTATTAACCACAAACTTTGATAATCTCCTAGAACTATATGCTGCAGACCAAGGAAAAGAACTTAAGTCCCTTGACCTTACTGATGAGAAAAATATAAAGAATAAAAAAATAGTAAAGTGCTACTCTTTAGGGCAAAGGATTGCTTCTTGTTGATAATTGATAAATACCCCCATTTCCTTAATAATGTATGCCACATTGGTACTTCTGCAGAAATGAAGAGATAGCATCTGGATACCTCACTCTACATTATCTGAATATTACAATAAATCTTTTTGAATTGTAAAAAAAATAAAATAAAATAAAAAAATTACCTAGAAACTATGTCTCTCAAATCTTTTTAATTGTCACAATGTCAACTGGTCCCATCACTTCCTGGCAAACAGAGGGAGAAGAAATGGAAGAAGAGTCAGATTTTATATTTTGGGGATCAAAGATCACTATAGACCATGACTGCAGCCATGAAATTGAAAGATGCTTGCTCCTTGGGAGGAAAGCTATGGCAAATTTGGACAGCATATTAAAAAGCAGAGACATCACCTTGCCAACAAAGATCTGTATAGTCAAAGATATGATTTTTCCAGTACCAATGTACAGCTGGATTGGAGAGTTGGATTATAAGAAAAGCTAAGCACCACAAAATCAATTCTTTTAAATTGTGGTTCTGGAGAAGACTTTTGAGAGTCCTTTGGACAGCAAGAAGATCAAATCAGTCAATACTTTAAGAAATTAATTCAGGATTCATTTGAAGATCAAATAATAAAGCTCAAGCTTAAATACTTTGTTTGGCCACATATTGAGAAGACTCGATGGAAAAGACCCTGAAGTTGGGAAGGATCAAAGACAAAAGGAGAAGAGGGGAAGAGAAGATAAGGTAGCTATACAGTGTCATGGAAGCAACAAGCATGAGCTTGGACAGACTTTGTGAGACACCAGAGAAGACCTGGCGTCCATGGGATCATGAAGAGTTAGACATGACTGAGTAATTGAAAGCAATAATGACAAATTGCAATGGCCTGCTGGTGGGCTGGCCTGCCTCAATGATTTTCATACTCCAATCCATCCTTTATCCAGACACCAAAGTGTTTTTCCTAAAGCACAGTTCTGACCATGTCACTCTTCTACTCAATAAACTCCAGTGACCAAATTATCAGTATCAAAAATGAAAAGACTGAATATGCCACTAATGAAGAGGAAATTAAAGCAATTTTAGGAGTTATTTTGTCCAACTATATGCCAGTAAAACTGACAATCTAAGTGAAACAGATGAATATTTACAAAATATAAACTGCCCAGGTTAACAGAAGAGGAAACTTAAATAACTGTATTTAGAAAAAGAAATTAAGCAAGCCATCAATGAATTTCCTAAAAAAAAAATCCTCACGATCAGATAGATTTACAAGTGAATTTTATTAAACATTAAAGAAACAATTAATCTCAATGCTAAATAAACTATTTGAAAAATAGGTAGAGAAGGAATCTTATCAAGTTCTTTTTATAACACAAATATAGTTTTGATATATGAACCAGGGAGAGTAAAAACAGAGAAAAAAACTATAGACTAATTTCCTCAATGAATATTAATGCAAAATTTTAAAATAAAAATATTACAGCAATATATCACAAAGATAATATACTGAGTTGGTGAGATTTCTGCTAGCAATGAACAACTGGTTCAATATTAGGAGAGCTATCAGCATAACTGACTATATCAATAACAAAAACAACAAATGATTATATTAACAGATGCAGAAAAAGCCTTTGACAAAATACAACACCCATCCTATTAAAAAAAATACCTTACAGAAGGCATAAGAACCAATGGAGCCTTTCTTAGAATGATAAGTAGTATATGTCTAAAACCAAGAACAAGCTTTATCTGTAGTACGGATAAACTTGAAGTCTTCCCAGTAAGATCAGGAGTGAAGCAAGGATGTCCATTGTCACCACTATTTTTCAATATTGTGCTAAAAATGCTAGTTATAGCAATAAGACAAGAAAAATAAATTGAAGGAATAAAAATAGGCAATAAGGAAACAAAACAAAACTCTTTGCAGGTGATATATTCCCTAGGGAATCAACAACAAAACTGGTGGAAGCAATTAACTTCAGTAAAGTTGCAAGGTATAAAATTAACTCAAATAAATCATCAGCATTTCTATATACTACCAACAAAACCCGGCAAGAAGACATAGAAAGAGAAATTCCATTTAAAATAACTGCAGACAATATAAAATACTTGAGAGTCTATCTGCCAAGACAAACCAAAGGATTATATGAACACAACTATAAAACACTTTTCACACAAATATAGATCTAAACAATTGGAGAAATGTTAATTGTTCATAGGTAGGCTAAACTAATATAATAAAAATGATGATTCTCCTTAAGCTAATTTACTTATTTACTTATCAGTGCCATACCAATGAAACTACCAAAGAATTATTTTATAGGACTAGAAAAAATAGTAACGAAATTCATCTGAAAGAATAAAAAGTCAAGAATATTAAGGGAATATATGGGGGGGGGAGGAATGTGAAGGAAGAAAGGAAGCCTAGCAGTTCCAGATTTCCAACCATATTACAAAGTGGTAATCATCTAAACAGTCTGATCTTGGCTAAGAAATAGAGCGATGTGTCAGTGGAATACATTAGGTACACAATACACCACAGTAAATGACCACAGTAATCTAGTGTCAGATAAACCCGAAGAGCCACGTTTTTAGGGTAAGAACTCAAAGCTGACAAAAATTGCTGGGAAAATTGGAAAGTACTTTAGAAGAAACAGGGCAACATCTCACATTGTATACCAAGATAAGGTTAAAATGGAAATATTTAGATACCTCCTACAGAAAGCTTTCCCTACCCATCATTTCTAGTGCCTTTCATCTCTTACTTACTTATTATTTATCCTGTATACATATTGCTCTGTATATATTTGTTGCATGTTGTCCCCCCTTAAGCTTCTTTAGGGCATGGACTATCTTTTGCCTTTTTTTGTATCCTTACTCCTTAGCACACAGCCTGGCAACAGTAGGCTTGCCCTTAATAAATGTTTACTGATTGACTGATCCAGATAGACAGAACTCAACATTTGTAGGCTGATGAAATCCCCAAGTGGGGTAATTAGTTGGTAAGCATTTATTAAATGCCTACTAAGCTCCACATACTATGCTAAGAACTGGGAATAGGAAGAAAAGCAAGAAAGAGTCCCTACTCTTAAAAAATTCAGAGTGTAATGGGGAAATACAGCATAAAACAACTATATACTGGATAAATTTGAAATAATCAACAGACAGAAGGCACCAGCATTAGGGGAGATCAAGGAATTTTCTTCCAGAAGGTAGGATTTTAGCTGGGATTAAAAGAAGTCAGAAAATCCAGAGGGAGAAATGAGGAGAGAGGAAATGTCTAACAGGCATCCAAGTCAGCCATTGAAAATGCTCATAGTCTTGTTCAAAGAACAGCAAGGAGACTAGTGTTAAGGAATTGTATAGGTATAGTACATGACAGCATATAAGGCATAATCCTGGTAAAGAAGGAGAAATCAAGGTTTTGAAGGACTTTGAATGCCAAACATGATTTTATATTTTGTTCTAAAAGTGATAGGGAGCCAGATAAATTTACTAATTTCGGGAGTGGGGGTGAGGGTGTGAGTGACATGGTCGGACCTATAATTTAGGAAGATCATTTTGACAGTTAAGTGAAGGATGGACTGGAGTTGTAGGAGACTTGGGGCAAGGAGATCAACATGCAGGTTACTGAAAATGTACTGGCATGAAGTCTTAAAGACTTCTATCAGGGTGGTGGCTGTGTCTGAGGAAGGAAGGAAACAAGTATTTATTAAAAGCCTACTTTGTACCAGACACTGTGCTAAGCACCTTACAAATATTATCTCATTTGATCTTCATAACAACCCTACCAGGTAGGTGCTTTTATTATCCTCATTTTAGAGTTAAGTAAATTGAGGCAGATAGAGGTTATGTGACTTGCCAAGGTCACACAGTAGTCTAAGGCTAGATTTGAATTCAGGTCTTCCTGGCTCTCAGTCTAGCATTCCATCCACTGTTCCACTTAGCTGCTTCTAGAGAGAAAGAGATATTATATAAATAACATCAATAGATCTTGGCAACAGATGTGATATGGTAACTGAGAGAAAGTGAGGAGTAAAGGGTGACATCTAGGATGAGCCTGGTTGGCTGAAAAGATGATGGAACCCTCAACAGTAATAAGTGAGGAAGAGGGGAAGATTTGGGAGGAAAAATAGTGAGTTCAGTAGTAGCACATTGAAATTAAATTGTCTACATGACATCCAGTGTGAGCGTTCCAATATACAGTTGCAGATGTGAGCCTACAGGTCAACAGAAAGGTTAGGGATGGCAAATAGATCTGAAAATCATCAAGCATAGAGATGATGATTGAATACATGGTAGATAATGAGATCATTAAGTGAAATAGCATAGAGGGAGAAGAGAAGAAGGTCAAGGACACACACACACACATACACACACACACACACACACACACCATTAGTAGGCATAACCTGGATGAAAATTCAGCAAAGGATACCAAAGAGTGGTCAGAAACGTAGGAAGAGATCCAGGAGATAGTAGTTCCACAAAAACCTAGAGAAAGAGTATCAAAGAGAGAAATTAGAGAAACATGGAAGAAAATAGGTTTCAGATGTATTGATGGAGAATAGTCCAAAATAAGAGACAGAAAATAAAAAGGGCCACCTCTTCATGTAAGACAAGGGAGGTGATAGTAGAGAAGAATTCTGATGTGAGATGAAAAGGAGAAGAGAAAGGAAAGTAAATAGTCTCAATGAGGCAAGGTTCTCAGCCAACAGCATGGAGGAAGGTTTGTGTGAGGCTTGAAGAGGGATGAAAAGGTTTAGAATATCTGTTATAGCGAAAAAGGGAATCAATCACAGTGGTGTAAAAGGAGTGACTTATTGTAGTGAAGGCCTAGTTGAAATTACATAAAATTAATTTGTACTGAACACAGACACAACAGTTTCATTACTTTCTCCAGCTCTGTTCAACAGAATTCAATGATAATCTTTGGGGGAGACACATAGATTACACAAGAATTAAAACAGGTAGAGGATTCTGG